TTTCCCAAGAAACCCTCCACCTTCACAACATCCCGCTAATATCTCCATGTGGCCAGTTCCTCACAGGGTCAAGTGTGCTGGGCCACCCCCCTCTGAGGCTGCAGCTGCATCTCAGGTTCACATTCTCACCACGGCCGTTCTACTGATGGAAGCCTCATTTCTATTTGCTCTAGGTATTACACCTATTTTATTTTTCTTTAATGAAATCCTCCTCACTTCCATCACCTCACTGCACCCCTCTCTTCAGAGCTTTCCTTCTCTCCCCTCCTCCCTCCCCATCTTTCTTCCTTCCTGTCCCCAAAGGCCAGGCCATGGTGCCCTCGAAGGACACGACAGGGCCCCACGTGGACTGGGAAGCTGGCCCTGGTCCAGGGCCCCTCCAGCACAGCCTTTCCCCCAATGGTCTTAGGCAAGTGCCCCACAGTGTCTATCTGCAGCCATCTCTGCCCCATGTGTTTATAAATTCACCTTCTGCTGTGGATCCCTGTCAACCGCAGGTCCGCCCAACACATTTCGCCCTGGATCTCACTGGGTGGACGTGAACATCCACCTGCACGACAGTAAAGGAAAAAGGACAAGGTGGAGTTGCGGGGGGAGGGGGTGGTTCTTCCCACAAAACACAGAAGCATCACAAGAATAATATTTGTTAAAAAGCCTCCAAGAGTTGATGCCGAACATCTCTCAAGGCATCTCCTGATTTCCCAGAGCTGATGGAAATATTCTGAAGGTATTAATAGAATGCAGATGTTGGAGAATGCGACTTAGAATCCTACTGAACAAATGACCCTGTTGGGAGGCCGTTTGCAGTCTCCCGGGACATTCCACAGAGGGCCCAGCTGATCATCTCATATTGAAACAGCATGTCCCAGCATTCCAGCTAGAAGAAGCGGAACAGGGCTCCTCCACCAGATATAAATCACAAGGCAAAGGGCAACTGAACTCCTTCAGTCCTGCCCTCCCTCCTTCCCTGGTTCACCCTCCACCCCCTCCCCCTCTCCCGCCCCCCAAGGAAAACAGAGCTTGAGTAAGAGGCTGCCAAGCCAAGCCACGCAGGCGCCAGACGGCCGAGCACGGCACACAGGGCGGCCGTTTGGGAGGCTCACAGCTTTCGGCACTGCGGCCCTGGTGTTTTTGCTTCACTGCAATTTGTTTCTGATCTCCAGTCAAGTCCTTACAACGCTGGGATCCTCTAGAGAGTTTATACTTTGACCTCTTGACAATTAACACCAGAGGCCAAGAAAAAAAAAAAAAACTCGATAAGAGAGAAACTCGATTGGTGGGAGGTGCAGGGTGGGAGGATGGGCGGGGGCCTATTGCTAAAGTAAATGCGTTACTTGTGAAATTATTTCCCATCCAATAAAAAGAATGCAGTGTCTTTAAAGAGAGAGTTGCCAAAATGGAAAGAAAGTCTTCTTTCAAAGACTGCCAAGCCTGGCGATCCTCGGTGAGCTGTGTGTTCAGGAAAGGACACAAATTAGCCAGGCTGGGCAGCCGGCCTTGCTGCAGGAGCCCTGGGACAGAACCTTTCACAGCTCTGTGTGGTTATGAAAGTGTGGGCGAGCCCGCCATGTCCTCTGCATGGAGGCTCCGTCCAGGCCCTGCCACTGCCCACCCAACAGGGCAGACCCGAGTGCTGGCCAGAGCTGTGGTCCGGGGTCCCCAGCTACCAGGCTACCATGGGTGATGGGAGGACATGGGCAGTGTGGGAGGCCATGTGTCTCACTTCTCAGGCAAGGCACGAGGTGGGTGGGGCATGGAGCTGGACACTAGAAAAGGCTGGGTGCTGCCTAAGGTGCCCCCCGGAGGTAAGGATCCTGACCCCACAGCCTTCTGAATGGCCTTCCAGCCCTGCTGAGCACAGGCACCTGTGTCCCTGGGGACCCACCAGCTGTGTGGACTCAGGAGCAAAGGCACCGACGACACACGATCAGTGCCCAGCCTGGAAGCAGGAATGTACCCTCAGAGCCACCCAAACCAGGAGCCCCTCAGAGGACAGGGCAGGGCATGAGCCCCAAAACAAGGGGCACGAGAGGGCCAAGCCAGAGTCACAGCTCCCAGGTGGGACAATGCTTCATTTAAATCTGCTCTTTCTTTCAATGCTTTACCCTCATTCCAAAGACAGTCTGTGTTGGGAGCTTGGCCCGGGTTTGAAGGAAGGGGCCAGTGCCATCTGTGGGCACCAATGGGGTGATGTGCACATGGCTGGCTGTGAGAGCGGCCCTTCTCCCAGGAGACAGCAGTGGAGGAGGCCCCGGGGCCATGGGCTGTTTGTCGTTAGCCACTGATCCCCGTAGCAAACAATGAAGAGCACAAATAGGGCAGGTGCCACCCGCATGTGGGTACGTGTGCAAACACGGAAGAGCCAGCCAGCAAGGGAGGCAGGTTTCAAAAAGAATTCCCAGTTAAAACAAAATCGTCAAAATTATGTTCTTACTTCTGAAATTTATCGGAAAGCAAGATTATTACTATCCTCAGCAGCTAACTGTTTGGGCTTCCTTAGAAAATAAAACATCCCTCAATGGAGGATGCCTGCCGACGTCCATGGGCGCCAGCGCACATGGCTGAGGCCTGTGGAGGGCCCCACTGCCCGGAGGTGAGGGAGGGGAAGGGGGCCATCTGCACACTCTGTGGGGACAGAGGCTACTATGAGAGCTGAGGAGAGAAATTTAATCATGTTTGGGAATCAAGGCAAGCCGGCCGTGGAAGTAGAATTGAGACAGCAGAGCTACTCAAGCAATGAGAGCAGGACAAGTATCTTTTGGCAAGGGAATAGCATGTGCAGACACCTAGAGAGGAACAGGGTCACTGTCCCCAGCCTGGGATGCGGAGCAGGTGGGAGCTGGAGAGAGGAGGATGCTATGGAGAGGATCAGGTCTGCAGAGCAAGTGGGCACTGGACCACAGACCATTCTCCAGACCACTACACCTATCAAGGATGCCATCTTTTTTCATTTTTCTGTTGTAGTAAAATATACTTGACATACAACTTACCCTCTTAACCATTATTAAGTGTACAGTACAGTAGCGCCAAGCACATGCAAAGCGTTGGGCCGCTGTCACCACCAGCCATCTCCAGAACTCATTTCATTTTGCAAAACTGAAACTCTGTATCCATTAAACAATAACTCCCCTTTCCCTTTCTTCTCTGCCCTGGGCACCCACCATTCTATTTTCTGCCTCTATGAGTTTGGCTATTCTTGGTACATCATGGAAGCAGAATCATGCAGTATTTGTCTCTTATGACTGGCTTATTTCACTCAGCATATATCCTCACGGTTCATCCAAGTTGTAGCACGTGTCAGCATTTCCTTCCTTTTCAAGGCTGAATCATATTCCACTGTACGTACAGGTCACATTTTCTTCATCCATTCATCTGTCGACGGACACATAGGCTGTTTCCACCTTCTGGCTATCATGAGTAGTGATGCTATGCACATGGGTGTGCACATACCTCTTTAAGATCCTGCTTTCACTTCTTTAGGGTCCATATCAGAAATGGACTTGCTGGATCACAGGGTAATTCTATTTTTAATTTCTACGGAAGCTCCCTACTCTTTTCGGCAGCAGCTGTGCCATTTTACATTCACACCACGTGCAGGGGTTCCAATTTCTCCACATCCTCTCCAATACTTGTTATAAAGATTAGACTTTTGAAGAGAAAAGCCCTGCTGGATTTTTAAACGTCCGCTGTGGATGAGGGAGTTCCTCATACTCCTTAGTTCACGCCTGGTGCAAGGACCCTTTTGCTGTGATTTTTAAATTCCGTTGTGTCCCATATATCACTCTCATTCCTTTCTCCTTCAAAGGCAGTGTCTTTATGGTGCATTTCTTCTTATTTGAATGCATTCTTACAAAGTGTGTTTTATGGTCTTGTGTGCATGTATTTGGGATTGATGTAAACGATTGTGTATTTCATCTTGTTTGTTGCCTATTTTTTTAGCCAAGTGCTATGTTTCTAAGACTGTCCCAGTCTCTATGTGCACACCGAGTCCTTCGCAGGACACGTTTTCCATGGTCCGAGCACACCATTTTCCACTCATCCAGGCCTCAAAGGCCAGCATCCAGGATGCACCAAGTTCACATCCCCCACAGAACACCGTGATGAACATCCTCACACACATCACCTCCAGGACCTGCCTGAGGATGTCCACAGAGCCCACTGCTGGTGGTCTTGCATTTGATTTGGTTAATGGGCCAGGTCCCTCTGCGCAGCCACCAGCAGCACACAAGGCCTCCCATCAGTGATCCAACGAGGAGGAAGCTGGGGTGGGGGTAAGCCTGATGGAAAGCTGAGCTTGCAAACCAGATTAGAATTTAGACTTTGGCTTCTAAAGAGTAGAGCCATTGAAGGATTTTTAACCAACTCCATAAATAAGGTAAATAATAGCACCTTTTATATTCCAAGTAATCCTTAGGCAAGGCCTTTCTTCTTGTCACTCTCCTACCCAAGCTACTGCTGATGACTGTGATTCCCACAAAAGGGCAACGCTCTGAGATGAGAGGCTCTGCCCCACACTCCCACCCCACCCACTCACACTTGGCCACTTCTGCAACCTTTAAAACATGTATGTCAAAAGCAATTTTCTAATAAGAATCAAGAGTAGAGGCAAGGATTAGAGCTAGCCACACTTGGGTGACATTTCAGTTCATGTCATGTCAACCATGCCCACATAACTGACTGTACACCTAAAACCATAGGATGAGTGAGAACTTAACCGAGAATGAAGACGGGATCAGTGAAGAGGATGAGGGGTGCGTTCCAGAAGAGGTAAAGTCTCCTGAGCTAGACACTAGAGTCAGAGCCACCATAAAACAGGAGGTCAGAGGGCCACCCTCCCTGGGGCCCCTTCTGCACAGAACATAAAAGGGGACCTTGCAGGGCAGAGGATACAGCCACACAACGGAGATGCCCAAGACAGTGGGACCCACCTGGGCCACACAGCATGAGGATTAGGAGCAAATAAATTATCAAGTAGCAGTCTGGATCCTTTGCTTACTCACCTGGCTCTCCTCACCTCTTTGTCTCTAAAATGAAGGCAGCAATCGTCTCTGTTTCTTCTGTTCTGAGGATTCGTAAGCTCCTTGTGCCAGGCACTGCTCCAGGTGTGAGGAGGTTCAGTAATGAGCAACCCAGACCAGGTTTCCATCATAAGGAAGCCTGTATCCAAGACAGGGGAGACAGCAATAACAATCGTTAGGCCCCCACATCTCAGCTATGGAAGTTCAGATGTTCACTGGGACTCTCCACGCCTTACAATCTAGGTAATATTGTATACTACCTCTATCCTATGTCCTGTGGAAGGAAGCCAGTGGTCTCCCAAGACTTTCTGAAAATATATCCCCTGGAACTTCTCAAGGTTGTTCTGCCTCTTCCTGCCTACCCTGAATTCTTCTTCTCTACTTAATATACTGGTCAAATATTTCCTTGATTCACACACACATGCACACATACACACATGGCAGTGACAGATTTCACTGAGAACCTTAGAGCTATGGTGGGGCTTATAGAGAGTCAGGGCAAAACTTTTCCTTTGGGTCGTGTTTGCAATATTTCTTCTGCCACTGGCTATGTTGCTCAATCCTTTCCATTTTGTGTCCTCTAGTTCTCCCCTTTCTACTTTCCTTCAACCCTCATGGAGGTGATATTGCTACCCCAATGGGTCCAGAAGGTGTAACCCCGCCCCCCCCCCACACACACACACACTGCAGGGGGTGTGGAGGGCAGAGCATCGAGCCAAAACAGATTATTCTCAAGCCTTGCCTGGTTTTGGACTTGCTTGGAACCCTTCACCCCTTTTTCTTCCCTACTTCTTCCTTTTGGAATGGGATTGTCTGTCCTAGGCCTGCCCCACCACTGCACATTGGAAGCTCATAACTTGTTTGGTTTCACAGGCTCCCAGCTGAAAGGAAATGTGCCTCAGGAGCCATCATACCTGTAATCTCACCCACGTCTGATATTTAGATGAGACTTTGGATTTAAATTTCAAAGTCAATGTTGGAATGAGTTAAGATGTTTGAGGTCGTGGGATGGAATTAATGTATTTTGCACGTGAGAACATGAAGATTGGGGGACCAGGAATGAAGTTTCATGGACTGAATGTGACCCCCAAAATTTATCTGTAGAAATCCTACCCTGCAGTGTGATGGTTCTAGGACGTGGGGCCTTTGGGAGGTCATGAGGATCAGTGCCCTTGGCTTATTTCTGCCCATCCCTCTAATGAAACATCCCAGTGTTTGAGTAGAAGCCAGGGGCACAGAGTCTCATGACCTTAGGGCCCCAAGTGGCCCCTGCACTGGACTTAACAGATGGCTGTTCTGTCCTCACCTCTCTTGGACCTCCCCATAGCTCTGACACTGTGACCACACCTTCCTTAAAATGCTCAACTCTCTTGCCTTTTATGTCCAAAGCACCCAGACACTCCCAGGCAGGGCCCCTGGAAGCTCAGGATCCTCCCCTTGCACATTAAACTTGGGGCATTTCTAGGATTGGCCTGGAGTCCCCTTTCTTTCCCTACTCTTGAGTGCCAAGGGTCAGCACACCTTGTCTATGGGGGTCAGGTGGCCAATCTTAAAGGGTCTTCTTGCAGCTGCCCACAATGGCAACCTCAGATAGCCAATGTGCAAGCAAAGGAGAGTTCCAATAAAACTTTACTGACAAAAGCAGGTAGCATTTGCCAAGCATGGCTCCATACCTTCTTTGAGTACAGATCCATTCTCAAGGCTTCAAAATGACTCGGATTTATAGTTTCCACTCAGGCTTCTCCTCTGAGCTGCAGACCCATCCTTGCCTCCTTGGACACAGCTTCGCCAGGCTGACCTCACGGCCTTCCACTGCCCACACGACTGTCTTGTGTGTTCCATCTCAGCAATGAGGCAGCCATCCTGGCAGGGAAGCCAGATGCCCAGGCCAGCCTGAACCCGCGGCCCCCGCCCCTGTGTTCGACTCCAGTGTGGATGCGCCCATTTACTAGCTAAGAGTTACAGGAGGTTTGCTCTCCACTCCAACCTCACAGCACTTCCCAGGTGGTGTCGCGTGCCCCCGAAGGCAGCTCAGCCCACGCGGCTGCAGAACCTAAGGGCATGCACCAGCTTCCCTGCAGAACGCACGGTCCCTGGGTCTCACAGCAGACTCCGACCAGCAGGGCAGGTCCCACCTCCTCCTCCTGGCTCCATCTCAGACCACGCTCCAGCACCCCCAACTACAGTGCCCCGTCCTCCCTGCTTTACTGAATTTAGTCTCATCTTTCAAATCTCAAGTCAGATATGTTAAATTCCCCTTCATATGCTCTGAATATACCACACATCTCTTCTTCCATTGTGTATTTATTGTTTTGATCAGGGGTCAAAAAACTACAGCCTGCAGTCTAAAGCCACCCTCCATCCCTTTCTGAAAATAAAGTTTTGTTGGAGTTCAGCCTGTCCTGCACTTACATGTGGTACAGATGCTTCTGCACCCCCATGCAATGGCAGAGCTGGGCGGTTACAACAGAGACCAGGAGGCCCACCAAGTCTCAAGTCTCTGCTGTCTGGCCCTCCACAGAAAACATGTGCCAGTCCCTGGTTTTGCTTATTTGGTAAGTCTGTCTGCCACACCGGACAGTAATCCAAGGAGGCTGGAGACCGTGCGTGTCCTTCACTGCAAGAGCTTCACCGCCAGCGGCAGGGCCTGAACTCAGCACTGGCTGGCTGGATGCAGAATCAGATCCGCCACATCACCAGGTCACGCGTCCCACCCTCGGCTGTCTCCTAAGCAAAGACCCAAAACATTCACTTCACACTCTTTTTCTCCCTAGCCTCTCTGGTAATGCCTGTTCACTCTGCTGGCTGAGGCTTGTTGACAACCCAGTGCTCTTCTAAAGATGAAGGAGGCAGTAAATAAATTGTCTGAGCACAGGGGCTGGTTGTCTAAGTATGAGTACAGCAATCACATATGAAGTAAATATCACCTTTGCAGAACGACCACGCACATGGTCACACACACGGTGGCACAGCCTGTGAGGGCATCTGGGCATTTTGCCTCATTTTACAGTAGAGAGAACTAGGCTCAGAGGGTGCTACAATTGGAAGGAGTCTACTCTCATCTGGCTATGAAAGCTCTTTCCTTTTTAGCACAACGTTTCCAAAATGTGTGTTTATGAGGAAAAACGGGGACCTGTGCTCAAATATGATTGGAATGGGGGGCATACGCCATAGCCCTCATGGAGGTTCTACAAGAAAGAAGTCTGCCTAACATTTCCAGTGTGTTTGGCCTCAGTACTTTTTCCCACCAAATACCCAGAACCCCTCTGCAGAGACTGGTGTTCTATAGAACGCACTGGGAGAAACACCTACCTTTAAGAATCCAAGTCCATACCTATTGCTGTGGCCCTGAGGAGAAGATTTGGGGGAGAGGTGTCTCAGCCTTCCTTTCTATAAAATGCCTTCATCTCCCAAATCACCCCATTGCACCATTCTCTCAGCACAACTGAGTTAAACTCTTAAGAAAAAAGCAATTTCATTATCTGAGCAAAGTAATTCCCCTATAATAGAAATGTCAGAGATAATCCTTTGAAACGATTTTTGACGTTTAAAAGAAGAAGTTGCCTACTTACATGCAAGTTAATATCAGACTACACCTCATTCACCTGGGTGACGCCCCATGAACACCTCCTTCACCCTCCATGTCCATAAACAGGAATCAGTTTTGCAACATCCTCCTGAGATGCTGCTGACAGCCTCCCCCAGACTCTGTTGCACCGCAGTGAAACTCAGGTCATGACTCACACATGATATACTTTGTTCCTCACTCATTCATCTCTCATCCATCTTTATATCACCCCCGCCTCCTGCCAGTGTTCAAAGAATGCTCACTGAATGAAACTGAAAGCCTTTCGATTCTTATCTCACAGGTCACTGGCCAACAAATATTTCTCAAAAACCTCCTATGTGCTCAACCCCACGCTAGGCCAGAGTCCAGGGGCTCACAACCTATAGGGGGAAATAGGGGAGACACAATGGTCCAGAGGGAGCTATGAGGAATGTCATCTCATCATCATTAATGAAAATGACAATTTTCTGAGAAATTGGGAGAGGTCTCACAGAGGAGACTGGAGCCCCTTACAGGGCCAGAGGAGCTCTGCTGGACACACCGAGGGCAGGGTGAGTAGGGCTGAAGGCAGGAGGGGCACCGGGAATAGCTCGTGGAAGGGCAGATAGACCACCCTAGGATATCCGGACTTTGTCCTATGGGTAGTGGAAGCCATGGAAGATTTTTAATCAAAGCAATATGAACAAGTCTCTGTTTAGGACAAAACCCAGTCTGGAGGAAGGATTGCAAGGGAGAAAGCCTCTTTATTTGAAAAGGCACTGGAATGAGGCTGCAGTGTTCCTAAGCAAGTATTCTTGGATCTCCTATGAGACACATGCTGTCTAGGCAAAGCCAGAAGTCGGGAGTAAGGTGCTGCTGAACACGGTGACGGTGTCATCGCCTCTGAGACTGCAACCTTTCCCAACAGAATGAGGCAGAGAGCTGGGAGTCAAAAGGGACCTGCTCTTGCCCAGGCTTCATGTTCATTCTCCACAAGGAGTCAGGGCATGTGCCCGATGGTGGTGACGCTGGCGAGGTCATGGTGATGACACTGGTGAGGTCACCCTGGCGCCCACAGCAGCAGGAGGGTGCCTGTGCCGGGCGGCACTGCCCTGCCCTCATGGCCAGGGACAGGAGCCCTGCAGGATACTGGACAATACTGGGAAGGAAAAGGAGGGAATCCTCGACCTTGGGCCAGAGCCTGGCCACAGACCACTGAACCCTGAGTGTCTCGACAGGTCTCAAGAAAGAAATAATTATTGGAAGCTGACAAGGCAGTGAGTGAAAACAAAAGATCCTATCTGGTAGGAAATAGGATAAAATAGAGAGAAATTTGTTTTGTTTCTGGAGATAAAATAAGCAACAGACCACTGAACTCAGGTCAGAAGTGCACAGCTGCCTGCCCCAGAACTGATGGCAGACACAGAAGGAAGTGTGTTGGAGGTAGGTACAAAGAAGAAGCTATTTTGAGGAAAATCATCTTACACCCAGTATGGCTCCTCTCTGCTGGAAGGCGGCATCCTTGCAAGTAGACTGACCAGATCCCTCAAGATGAAAAACATCCCAGGCAATGCTGGCGCATGTGAGAGCTC